TGCAGCCGCCTTGTTATTGATGATAATAGCGATAATAACTTATAATTAATGATAATAAAGAGTTTATAAAACTTGGAGCCACTTCTGTTTATCAAAACTGATTATAGAGCTGCACCATAAATATCCTCAATATTCAACATAATCATCTAAATAAAGATTAGCAGATTACTGGAAAACCTCAGAGTTTAGATTATTATTTATGATTTATGATGTAAACACGGTGGAGCCACACAGACCAGCTGCTGGTTCTGATTTAACAGATAAAAAATACCAGCTATATGAGGCCAAAAATGGTCTATTATCAATAACAATTTCATTACTTTTATCAGGTAAAAACATAAAGATACCAGTTATAGATTATTATTAATGCTGATTTATGTTTTTCCTGGTTTCTACCAGTAAAAACCTGAAATTATTCAGATGTTTGTTCATTTTACTATAAAACATCAGTTAAACTAAATAAATAAGTTTTGGGAGAATAAAAATAGTTTATATTCACTATTATTCGTTATTTTATATTTGTCAGTTTCAGCAGGAAACTCATGAAGAATCTAATGAGAGTCCTTAGTATAATAATAATAATGAATAATAATAATTAATATTAATAATAATAATAATAATAATTAATAATATTAATAATAATAACAGTAATAATGTTTTCCATGTTTAGTTTAGTACTTTTTACCTCCAGATTAATAATAAAGTTCTGTTTGACCCGCTACGGTACTGATACCTGTGGTGGACCGAACCGGACTCACCCTCCTCGGCCCAGCAGAACCAGCAGCAGCCCAGCAGGACCAGCAGAACCAGCAGCCCGCGGGGAGCGGCGCGGCCCCGGCCTCTCTCCGCCCGCTGGCCGCTCTCCATGGCTCCCCGCTGGAAGTCCCGGTCCGGAGCGGCTCGGCCCGGAGCGGCTCGGCCCGGAGCGGCTCGGTCCGTCCTACGGGTCCGCGGTCCGGGAGGTCAGCTGGGCTCCTGGAGGCCCGGTCCTGCCCGCCTCATTGGGGCTCCGCCGGTCCGGCAGCGGCGGAAAAAGTCCGCACAGGACGAGTGAAATGCTGGAGAGAAACTTTTCAAGATGGAGGCTGAGAGGCTCCGTCATCCGGCTCCCTCCATCCCCGCTCGGTCTCGCTCTCCTCCGGGGAACCGCGGCGGGCTGAGGCGGCACCGGAGCCCAGAGGTCCGGGGCGGAGAGGAGTCGGTGGGTCGGCTGGAGGACAAAGAAACTTTTCCAGATGTAAATCCGCTCCGAAAGGCTCCAAAGTTCCCCAGTATTCCCAGTTGCTCCAGTGGTTTCCAGTTTCCAGAAAAACTTCAGACAAAGCTAAAAGTTTTCAGACCCACCTTCACGTGAAGCCCCGCCCACAAAATGCCCGATGACGGTCTGTGATTGGCTAAGCAGCCTGTTGGCCTGTAAAGGGGCGGGGCTTAACTGTCACCGATACGCTATCCAGGAATGTGGAGGTGCCGGTCTGCGCATGACCGTTAGGAAAATAAAATTCATTATTTTAAAAAATAAAACAAATCTAATGAATAATGAATAAAGTTGAAAACATTTAAAATATTTAATTAATACTAAAAAAGTAAAATCGCAGGGAGAAATCAACTTCAATCCATCACTGACACATTCTCTAATATTTTATAGTCAAAGTAAAACAGAACAGAATGAGCTCTGTGTATTAATAACATTAGTCGGTTCTTCAGGTGAGTGACGTCACACCTGAAGAGCTGCGATTATCTTCATCTGTTTAGTAATAACATGTTTCAGGGTAAAACATGACGGAAACGTCAGTCATGTCAGATTATTCTGAATTATTTCTCTTTATTCTGCTTTATATGATTTAACGCTTAGTTTTTATGTTATCTCGGTGAAAAGAAGATTTTTTTATGAGCCAATACAGATCCTGGAGTTCTGGATGTTCTCAGGAGTCCTATCATCAGTTCTGGTTCTGCTGGTTCTGTTTCCCTCAGGATCCTCACCTTCAGTCTCATGAACTCCTGGAAGAAAAGTTTCCTCCTCCTGTGGGGACAATGGAGCGGATCAGATGTCCTCTCTTTGTTGGCTGAGGTGAGAAGAGGCCAAGAGGACAAGCACTGGTTGAGACAGGTGCCAGGTGGAAGCTCCGCCCCTCCTCTGGCCGTCTGGTGGTGGAGAAACTCAGCTGGTTCAAAAACACCAAATCAGAACATATGAAGGTTTAGAGCAACTGGAAGAGTTTAATGCCTGAGAAAGAACCAAGTAAAGAACCGCTAGACTGGAGGAGGAACTGGACCTCAGGTACATGAGAAGCTGGCTCCCCCTGCTGGAGTCTAAATGAACTGCAGCATGTTAGACTGGCTCCCCCTGCTGGAGTCTGAGGGAACTGCAGCATGTTAGACTGGCTCCCCTTGCTGGAGTCTGAGGGATTATGCATTAGCATAATATTGATCAGGACAAACTGAGCGCAGACAGCTGAGTAACAGACTGAAACCTTTATTAACACATGTAACAGGAACAGAGACAGTGCGGCGCTCAGTGAGTGGAGAACCGGGGCAGCTGGTCTCCCAGAATGACCCGCCGCTCCACGCCGTCCTCAGAGATGGAGGCCAGCCTGATGACGCCGCCGCTGGAGCCGTCCCTCTCCATGGCCAGAGACAGAGCTGCAACACACACACAGTGAGATCCGGAGGACTCCAGCTCCCAGCATGCCCTGCAGCAGCCTCACCTGAGGCAGTCAGCTCCAGACACTGGTCCTTGTTCAGGCCCGGTTTGTAGTTGGAGTCCATGAAGCCGTAGATGTAGGTGCTGCCGCTGCCGCCCACTGCCACGGGCTGACGGACCAGCATCCCTCCAATGGGAACGCAGTACAGCTAGGGGACAGAACCGGGTCAGACTGGGTCAAAACCGGGTCAGGGACATGGGACCCCGGGCAATATTCCCTCTAACTGTTCATGTGTCTGGGCACACGGAGCTTCCTGAACATACTGAGGTCCACTGTGGACATCATCAGTGGACACGGTGCAGGGCGTGGCCACAAACAAATATTATAAACCTGGGATCATAGAAAGTCACATGGTTTATTAAAAGAATCAAATTACATCAGCAATTTTCATGTGTTTGCTTTTAATTGAAGTGATTTGCTGAATTAAATTGAAAAAAAGAAAACATTGATGTTCATGAGATGCATGCTATAAGAGTCCTGCTTTATTAATGAGACCTTTCAGACATAAATATTAAAATATTCACATTTTGCACAATGAAATGTTTTCTGTAGCTTGTGATACAGAATAAATTCTTGTAAAATATTTAATTACAGTTTTTTCTTCTCACTTCTCCAGTGGTTGTACACTTTGCCCAGGTTGATGGTCAGTCTGCTTCTTGCTTTATGTTCTTGAATTCAGCATATTGATTATTAATGCCTCCATAATCTGCGTGTGAAGTTTATGTTATTGGTCCAAACTGATGTCTGAGCTCAATGTCCAGTTTACATTGGACTTTATTTTATGCGCTGCATAGATTCTCTAGTGCAGAGAATATGTGAGCAGAGCCCGATTGGACAGGCGCAGCTTAGAGGAACGTTGCCCCCCAGGTGTCCCTGCGATCCCACCTGTCCTCCCTTCCTGCGGTCCCAGCCGGCCACCAGGATCCCGGCCATCAGCTCCTCCCGGTACCGGTAGCAGCTGGCCCGGAACAGGTTGGCCGCTGTCTCCACCAGGGGGGGCTCGTCCAGCTCCACGCTGTGGGGGGGCAGAGGGACAGAGGGGCAGGAGGACAGAGGGACAGGGGGACATAGGGGCAGGGGGTAGGGGGACAGTCAGACCTTCACCATCAGAACCACACGGCGCTCACAGACCCGGTCTGGTACCTGTGGAAGCCCAGCTGGTAGGAAACAACCTCAGCGATGGCCTGAGTGTCTGCAGCCGATCCAGACCTGAAACACACAGAGACCAACTAGAACCTGAACTGGAACCAGAACCAGAACCCGGCTGTCCTCCTGCAGCAGCACCAGCACCGACCTGCAGCAGTAGATCCTGTCGTGGATTCGGGTCAGTTTATCTGTCACTCTGTTAGCGATGTAAGCCCTGAGAGAGAGAGAGAGACAGGTGAGTTTACCTGGGGACAGGTAACCATGGTGACCTCCCAGGTGTCCTCACCCTGTGGTGGTCCGGGAGTCGGCTCCAATCACCACTCCTCCATCGTACTCCACCGCCATGATGGTGGTCTGAAACACACACAGTAAGGTTCTGTTCAGCAGATCTCAACTGGTTCTGGTCGGCTTCACTGGGTCAGTTAATTATCGGACAACCCGTCAAACCACAGGGACGCATAAAGGAGATGTCCGATAATAGCAGCTTCAACTTCAACTGGCGACCGCTTGCAGCCACTAAGGTGCGTTTTACAACAGAGAAGTCCTGCGCCAATTATCGGACTGAGTGGATGTTTTTAAGTTACTGTTAAACACATTTCATTTTACCAGCTCATTATCGGACACATGAGCTTTAAAACACGTTTTGTCCGGCAATAGAAACAGGAGCATTAGCCTTTTATTTCTATTGGAATAAAAGAACCACTGAGCGGGTCAGAGCGGTTCGAAACTTTATTTAATGTTAACTTTATTAACAATTATCAGTTCTGAACTTTATTTAACTTTCTAATCTTTAATCAAGCTAACGTTAGCCACAGCTAGCTGCAGCATATCTGCTGTCTCATTCCGACACATTCTGACTTAACATTTCTCCACCAAGAGCCGAACCGACCCGAATGCAGTCCACTCTGGTCCCGCCAGCCCCGCACCTACCCCGGTGCTGACTTCCTCCCTGCTCCAGTCCGGAACCAGGTCGATTTTAGAGGAAATCTGATGCCCGAAGATCGGCATCATAGACGCTGCGGCCGCCATTTTTTTACTCTTTGTTCAACACTGAATAAAGGAGGAGGTGTCCGTTAATACCGCCGGGATTTAATTCATTTTACGCAGGCACTGAACTGGACATCTCTGAAGTGAAAACAGTGATTAACATTTCACTATCTACAATATACTGTCTGATTAAAAACGCAACTAAATACAATAAAAGAATTTAAAAACTGTAACTGTAAATCCGGCATGTAAGCGAACAGCTACAGAGTGAGGTCCTGACGGACACAGGAAAAGAAGGTAAACAGTTCCCGATGCAAATAGTCAGATTGTTGTTTTAATGTTTATTCTTTAGGTTTTTTCCCAATACTTAGTCTCAGGATCTCTCTAACTGTATGTGTCTGTAAGTTTAATGTGGATTCTGGGCTTTAATTAGTTTCTTTGGCTTTTAAACTCCATCTGACCGCAGTCGTGAACCAGACTCCATTTTAAAAACTTTACATTTTCATTTCAACATTTAAAACTTTGAAGACGCGGTAGAAAAGCACTGCAATAAATACTGTAAATATGGAGAAGCAGATCGTTTATCCGGCATAGCTTAAGTTATTGTCACTATTTATTAACATGATTTATTGATTATTGATTGATTGGTTGCTCTGTGCTTCAGATGACGGTTCATAATCTGTACATATTTGACCGGAATGGAAGCTGCTTGTTTTATAATGAGTGGAACCGGAAGAAGCAGGCGGGGATCTCTAAGGATGAGGTGACGTCACACAGCAACAAACTAATAAACAACCAGCATTAACCAGTCAGTAACTAGTCAGTGTGTGTGTGTGTGTGTGTGTGTGTGTGTGTGTGTGTGTGTGTCTGCAGGAGTTCAAGCTGATGTACGGGATGCTGTTCTCCATTAGGTCTTTTGTCAGCAAGATGTCTCCACAGGACATGTATCCTTCATTAGCTGCCTGATTGCCATGTTACCAGTGTGTCCTCCTGTGGTCCTTAGCGCATCCCCAGGAAGGACGGCTTCCTGTCCTTCCAGACCAGTAAGTACCGCCTCCATTACTACGAGACGGCCAGCGGCCTGAAGTTCGTCATGAACACGGACCTGTCAGTGAGCAACGCCAGGGACACGCTGCAGCACATCTACAGCAACGTACGACACACACACACACACACACGCTGCAGCACATCTACAGCAACCTACGACACACACACACACGCTGCAGCATATCTACAGCAACGTACGACACACACACACACACACACACACACACACACACGTATGTCTTCCTGTCTACATCAGGACTTTCCCTCCGTTGCTGTTTCATTTCTACGGCCCAATCCTCACATGAACCTTAAACTCTTTTCCAAACTTCAGAACCCAAAAACAGGCCCTGGTCCCGGGTTGTGGGCCCCATAAGGACCAATTGGACCTCACAGTGTAGCAAAACAAGGCTACACACAAACATAGCCCGGTTCTGGTTCTGGACGAGAATCAGGTTTTAGTCTTTCTGGGTTCTAAATAGATGCACCGATGCATTCACTTCCAATATGGTCCAATATCTGGGATATCGGCTGATATTGATCCGATACCGATAAATAGTGATAAATTGACTTTAAACATTTAAATTGAACATTTGTTCAAATGTTGCAAAGACACAAAAATTCTCTTCTGCAACATAAAGTATAAAATTTATCTACACATTTCTATCATCGGTATTTATGTATTGTTATTTAAATAACTTTAATTTAAATAAAGTTAATAGTTGAAGTAAAGCTTTAGAATCAGGCTAAAGGTAAAAAAGAAACAGCAGCATCAGTCCCTCCATTAACAGCATGAAGCCATTCAGGAGCCGAATTGTTCCTGAACGTCTCATCAATGCTCAGCTATGATTTCCTCAAATAAACATAAATCAATAACGAACATGTTGGACGAAGTTTTTTCACCTTGAAACAAAACCTGACATAATTATTTTATTTTAGGTGTGTAGAAGCAGTTGGTCAGCGCTGTGGATTCGTTAACATGCAGTGGATCTGTTAGCATGCAGTAGATCCGTTAGCATGCTGTAGATCCGTTAGCATGCTGTAGATCCATTAGCATGCTGTAGATCCGTTAGCATGCATTACCATGCATCCGTTAGCATGCATTAGCATGCATCCATTAGAATGCTGTGGATTCGTTAGCATGCTGTGGATCCGTTAGCATGCTGTAGATCCGTTATCATGTTGTGGATCCGTTAGCATGTTGTGGATCCATTAGCATGCAGTAGATCCGTTAGCATGCTGTAGATCCGTTAGCATGCTGTAGATCCGTTAGCATGCTGTAGACCCGTTAGCGTGCTGTAGATCCGTTAGCATGCTGTAGATCCGTTAGCGTGCTGTAGATCCGTTAGCATGCTGTAGATCTGTTAGCATGTTGTAGACCCGTTAGCATGCTGTAGACCCGTTAGCATGCTGTAGATCCGTTAGCGTGCTGTAGATCCATTAGCATGCTGTGGATCCATTAGCATGCTGTAGATCCGTTAGCATGCTGTAGACCCGTTAGCGTGTTGTGGATCTGTTAGCGTGCTGTGGATCCATTAGCATGCTGTAGATCCGTTAGCATGCTGTAGACCTGTTAGCATGCTGTAGACCCGTTAGCATGCTGTAGATCCGTTAGCGTGCTGTAGATCCGTTAGCATGCTGTAGATCTGTTAGCATGTTGTAGACCCGTTAGCATGCTGTAGACCCGTTAGCATGCTGTAGATCCATTAGCATGCTGTGGATCCATTAGCATGCTGTAGATCCGTTAGCATGCTGTAGACCCGTTAGCGTGTTGTGGATCTGTTAGCGTGCTGTAGATCCATTAGCATGCTGTGGATCCATTAGCATGCTGTAGATCCGTTAGCATGCTGTAGACCCGTTAGCGTGTTGTGGATCTGTTAGCATGCTGTGGATCAGAATCATGATCTGAAAAAATAAAAGTTCAGCAGCTCAGCCTGAGAAACTGAAATATTCCTTCAGACATTAATTCATTCCTGGCTTGTTTTGTTTCTTCATGGTGGCTGTTATCACTGCTAACTGTTAGCATGAGTCATGTGATCAGGCTAATTAGCCATGTGCTAACTTCAAACTAATAATAAATCAAGCTGTGAATGACCAGTAAAGGGTCCACAACACTGACAGCAGGAGGCGCTTTTAGGACAGGAAACTCATCAAGGGTATTGGCTTTTCAAAATAAAGTAAAATTTAACTTTTCGAGATACTTAAATTTATCTCATTGTGTTTGAATCAGTGCAGAAATATAGAGGATATATCTGTATCAATCAATCAATCAGGTTTATTAGTGCAGTGCATTTCGCCTCATAGATCTTTACATCATAGAAACACAAAAAACATAGATATTAATTTATCTGATACGCTATGAACATAGAAATAAAACAACTGGACTTTTATTGTGGCGGGGCACCAGAGCACAAAGCATAGAACTAGACCGACTAGATCTGCCTTATGGATCAGCACACTCACTGATCCTGATATAGAAAAGTTTTTCTATGCTGGGACCAATGCAGATATCAGAACGGTTCTGATGTCGGGTCCAAAATGGTCCTGGTTCTGGTCCAGGTTCTGACCGACCCGTCTGTATTGCAGCTCTATGTGGACCTGGTGGTGAAGAACCCTCTGGTTCCATCCGGCCAGCCTCTGGACAGCGACCTGTTCGGAACCAGACTGGACTCCTTCATCCGCTCCCTGCCGTACTACAGCCCGCGGGCCGCCTGACCGGTTCTGGTTCTGACCCGTACTACAGCCGCCTGACCGGTTCTGGTTCAGACCCGACTCCTGACCCACTTCTCTCTGTCCTTCAGAACCAGAATCGCTCCATGGACAGAACAGTCTGCATTTGGACCAGAATACTGGATGGAGCAGAACCGGGTCAGCAGAACCGGGTCGGGCTTGCTGTATTTATTGGGTTGTTCTGTGTTTAATAAAGAGATGTTGGACCGGTCCAGTTGGTTCTGTGGTTCTTGATCCGTTAATTGTTGATGCTTTAGAATCTCTGAGGTCCAATCTGAGCAGAACCGGGCCAGAGTCCAACTGGGCTGAGCAGAACCGATTATAGTCTCCTGATGATTGGTGGTTCTGACCCAACAGAACGTTTAACATCTGGAGCAGTCCTTGGTTCTGTTCTGGTTCTGGTGGAGATAAGGTCCAGACCAACTCCCCTGGTTCTGGTAAAAGGACCGAATCCATGACGATAATCCGGATCAGTGGAACCGGATCAGTGGAACCGGATCCCTCCAGATGTTCAGCTTCTGACCCAATCCCAGAACAGAACCCTGACCCAAACAGATCGGTTCTGTTCTGACTGGGCCGCAGAACTCTGATCCTCCATATCTACTTCCTTAAGAAAATGAAAAAATATGGTGTTTTATAAGATAATTTATCTTTTACGGTGCCAGTAATGTTGAAATTAGTAGTAAATAATAAAGACTTTGTGCTATTCTGATTTAGTAATGTAATTATAATAGTGTGTTACCACCCCACGCCACTAGAGGCAGTATCAGGACCAAAAAGATGCGACTAAGGATCTTTTTGGGGTAGCTTTCCAATTCTGTAGAAAGCTACAGAATTAGTTCAAAACTGTAAGATGCTTAAGTAAATAAAAGAGAGAAGTTCAAATAAAAGCTGAGAGTGAAAATCCTTCCTAAAGGTGAAAATGTATCAGATATCAAAAGAAAATAAAAACGGAAGGATAATATAGGAAATAGCGCCCCCTTCACTTCCGGAGTGCAATGATCCATTTCCATATAAGGTCTGAGGCTGTAAGTCCCGCCCCTTCTTGTTACCTGCAGCAGGTGTTCTTCCCCAGAAGTGAGAGAAGTTACTGGAACCAGTTTTTCATCAAGAATCATGGGACATAACCAGTTCTGTAACTGGTCCGAATCCGGTCCAGGTGTGTCCTGCCTCAGGTGAACCGTCCCATCATTACCGGTTCTGGTTCTGGTCCAGGTTCTGACCGACCCGTCTGTATTGCAGCTCTATGTGGATCTGGTGGTGAAGAACCCTCTGGTTCCGTCCGGCCAGCCTCTGGACAGCGACCTGTTTGGAACCAGACTGGACTCCTTCATCCGCTCCCTGAGGTCTACCAGAACCGGACCGGGTCGGTCTGCTCGGTGGGTGGAGGACAAAGTTCTGACCCGGAATGGGGCGGTTCTGGAGTTATCCCAGGAATGTTCTGATGACAGAGGTTCCTGCGGTTCCCCTCAGACATGAAGCAACACCAGAACCAGAACCGGGCCATAAATCAGCCTGTCGTTGAGGTCGATGGGCTGGAGGAGGGGGGCGGAACCGCGGGTCACATGACCACAGCCCCACTTCCTGTTCAGGACAATAAGAGACCAGAACCAGCAGACCCAGTCAGGACAGAACCAGAACCCGTCCATCGTCTCGGAGGAGCTGCTTTTGGATCGGACCAGGATGTGGATGTGTTTGATCCTCCTCAGCCTGCTGGATCAGAACCAGGCTGCTCCTGTAAGACTGGACCTGATGAAGGGTTCTATCAGAACCGGTCCGGATCAGTGACCCATATTTGTCTTTGAACAGCTTCCTGGGAAACATGGAGACCTGGTTCTGATGGTTCTGCAGCAGCAAGCGGCCCAAACTGCGGTAAGACTTTAGGTTCTGATGGGAACTGGACACTGGTTCTGGTCCAGATCTGGAGCTTCAAGGCCCAGAAGAATCCAACTGGACCAAAAGGGTTTAGGATCATGTGAGGAGAGAACCGGACCTTAGAATGGATGGACCTAAAGACATCCTGCAGCCTGACAGGTTCCACTGTGGTTCTGGTGGTTTTGATGGTTCTGGTGGTTCTGATGGTTCTGGTGGTTCTGGTGGTTCTGGTGGTCCGTCTCCACATGTTCTACTCTGATTAAACATTTAGTCAGAACCACAGGTTCTGCCCCTGGTAACCAGGAGAACCGGTCCGCCTTGGATCAGAACCAGTCCACCTTGGATCAGAACCGGTCCACCTTGGATCTCTGTTGGTGACTTCATGTCTCTGAAGTCCAGCTGAGTCAAAGAACCAGAACCGTTAGCCGACCCAATCCAGTCCAGAACCAGATGACCCATCGCGGTTCTGCTGGGTTCTGTCTGCAGGTCACTGCAGCGCCGGACCCTCAGCAGAGGACGTCGTCCTCATCTTCATCCTCCTCATCTTCTTCATCAGACTCCTCAGAGTCCAGCCAGAAGCCCATGGTGAGAACCAGAACCAATTATATTACCCATAATGCTCAGCAGCAGGTCAACATGACCCAGTTACAGCAACAGGATGAAAGATCTACGATGAGGGAGATGCTTCACTACCAGCAATAAATTAATGTTGAATATTTTCACAGACATTTCAACTGTTGAAGGAAAGAGAGCAGGAGGACAAGGTAACACACACACACAATAACACACACACACACACACTGTAACACACACACTCTAACACACACACACTATAACACACACACACTATAACACACACACACACACACTATAACACACACACACACACACAATAACACACACACACGTGTGTGTGTGTGTGTGCATGTGTGTGTGTGTTATAATGCATGTGTGTGTGCATGTGTGTGTGCATGAGTGTGTGTGTGTTATAATGCATGTGTGCGTGTGCATGTGTGTGTGCATGTGTGTGTGTGTGTTATAATGTGTGTGTGTGTGTGTGTGTTATAGTGTGTGTGTTATTGTGTGTGTGTTATTGTGTGTGTGTGTGTGTTTGTGTGTTAGTGTGTGTGTGTGTGTTATTGTGTGTGTGTGTTATATGTGTGTGTGTGAACACTCACACACACACACAATAACACACGCACACACACACAAACACACACACACACAATAACAACACACACACAATAACACACACACACTATAACACACACACTATAACACACACACACACTATAACACACACACACAATAACACACACACACACTATAACACACACACACACACTATAACACACACACACACTGTAACACACACACACACACTGTAACATACACACACACAATAACACACACACACTGTAACACACACAATAACACACACACAATAACACACACACACACACTGTAACACACACACACACACAAACACACACAATAACACACACAATAACACACACACACACTATAACACACACACACTATAACACACACACACTATAACACACACACACAATAACACACACACACTATACACACACAATAACACACACACACACACAATAACACACACACACTATAACACACACACACACTATAACACACACACACACAATAACAAACACACACACAATAACACACACACACTATACACACACACACACACTATAACACACACACACACAATAACACACACACACAATAACACACACACACTATAACACACACACACACTATAACACACACACACTATAACACACACACACACTATAACACACACACACACAATAACACACACAATAACACACAATAACACACACACACACTATAACACACACACACACACTAAACACACACACACTATAACACACACACACAATAACACACACACACACTATAACACACACACACTATAACACACACACACACACTATAACACACACACACACACTAACACACACACACACTATAACACACACACACAATAACACACACACAATAACACACAATAACACACACACACACACACACTGTAACACACACACACAATAACACACAATAACACACACACTATAACACACACACACACACACACACAATAACACACACACACACTATAACACACACACACACTAACACACACACAATAACACACACACAATACACACACACAATAACACACACACACACACTGTAACACACACACACACACAACACACACAATACACACACACAATAACACACAATAACACACACACACAATAACACACACACACACTCACACACACACAACGCACACACACAATAACACACACACACTATAACACACACACACACACTATAACACACACACACACTATAACACACACACACTATACACACACACACACACACTATAACACACACACACACTGTAACACACACACACACAAAACACACACAATAACACACACACAATAACACACAATAACACACACACACTATAACACACACACACACACTATAACACACACACACACTATAACACACACAATAACACACACACACTATAACACACACACACACTATAACACACACACACTATAACACACACACACAATAACACACACACACTATAACACACACACACACTATAACACACACACACACACACACACACTATACACACACACACACTATAACACACACACACACACTATACACACACACAATAACACACACACAATAACACACACACACCACACACTGTAACACACACACACACAAACACACACAATAACACACACACAATAACACACAATAACACACACAATAACACACACACACACTATAACACACACACACACTATAACACACACACACACACACACTATAACACACACACACACACTATAACACACACACACACACTATAACACACACACACACACTGTAACACACACACACACTATAACACACACACACACACTATAACACACACACACACTATAACACACACACACACTATAACACACACACACTATAACACACACACACAATAACACACACACACACACTATAACACACACACACACTATAACACACACACACACTATAACACACACACACACACACACACACTATAACACACACACACACACACACTATAACACACACACACACTATAACACACACACACACACACTATAACACACACACACTATAACACACACACACACTATAACACACACACACACACACACACACTATAACACACACACACACACACCTATAACACAC